TAAACAATATATTAATATATTAAAATTATAAATGTAGTAAACAAATTTACCCTAAAATATATATTACACATTCATCAACCACATTCACGAAAAAACACAGCTAACACATTTCCCAAATATATTCCTCGAAAAATACAATAAGAACAGACATCCACTTCCTCGCTTATAAACTTCCCCAAAAAACGTCCACCAAGGTTGTTCGACCCCTTACGGTTAATTTCTGCGGCAACACCCTCGCTCCGCGGGTTGTTTGAAAATTATAAAAATAATCAGTCACCGGAAGGAACGCGGTTATTTAAAACTGGCTCAGTCCACAGTGGCATTGCTAAATGTCAGACACTTTCCCTCGCGGTTTTTTTCTCTCCTCTTCTAAAAATAAACCACCGCCGGACAAAAACAAGGAACTCGTTAGGGGACGAGGGAAAGAGAGAGAGACAGGCGGGTGGAAAACGTGGCGGAGGTAACTTCCGGAAAAATTAATATCCCGTGGGCAGGTTGATGCGCCGGCTGGTTGGCTCAAGTGCAGACGTCCATGTCACCGAGATGGGAACGATGGAGGAAGATAGTCGAGATCTGAACGCGAAACTTTCTTCATCCCTGGTGTCATAATATCAGAGGCGAAAATATATTAAGTCACAGTGTGGATTGTGGTTTTGCTGTGGTTGGTTTGTTTTTTGAGATTTAAATAAACAAAACTTTGTTCTAATCTAATTATAATGTGTAAAATTATACTATATAACGAAGGAGGATGTAGTTTAGATTTAAAAATCATAATATTAGAGGCAAAAATATATTTTTTGTATTTTTTTTATTTTTAAAAATTTAGATAATCAAAACTTTATTCTAATTTAATTATAATATATAAAATTATATTAGACAGTGAAGGAGAATATATTTAAAACTTAAAAATCATAATATTAGAGGTAAAAATATGTTTCCTTATGTTCCTTTTATTTTTTTTAAATTTAGATAAACAAAACTTTATTCTAATCAAATTAGAATCTATAAATTTACACTAGACAGCGTAGTAGAATATATTCTAGATTTAAAACAGTTTTGTTCATCTTAAAAATTCTTTTCACTTATATTCCATTATATATTTTACAAAAATTCTTATAGCACTCCAAACTACACTATTCTTCAATGTACTAAAATATTTTCTAAACTATATTACTCATTCTCATTCACTTACATAAACCATAATCCCACCATAATTTTATAATAATTATTAAATATTCCACGTTTTCCGAATCTCAAAATAAAACTGTTACCAATCTTTTCAAATTTTTTCCACCATTCTCTCTTTAGTAGTCTCCTCTACCTTAAGTATTCAATAAAAACTGAGAGTAAAACGAATAATACACGGATCGTTCAAGTAACCATTGTACGAATGCCAATGGAAAGTTTCGAAGAAAGTGAGGTTAGTCCATGGGGTTTCAAGCAACCACAGCTCTCTTGCCAACTGGCCCCGTCTTAAGATCGGTGGAGTTTAATTGGTCTTGACCACTTGACCAGAGTAATTGGCCAATCTGAAATTTGATTTCAACCTGGCGTCTCGAAAGTACTTAATACCTTTGTTCCCGACTAATCGGCTCCGGTTTGAGTTTGCTGAAGTTCACCGAGGATTTTGCGAGACTATCATCGTAGGCTGCGTTTGGTGTGTTTCCATTGTAACTGACAGAAACAATTGGGTTACTGGATTTGTGCTGTATAAATTGACTATATACCGTATTGCATAAAAGAAGGCTTTTCTAACCTCCAAAAACAAAAGCAACGAGCAAATCCTCGAATCGCCAAAAAGAATATTATATTTCATCAAAATTCACAAAAATCAGAGACCATAAAAAATTAACTAAACAGCATTATCTTCTGACATGATTATACACATTCAAAAGCCTCAAAAAGTATGACAATGACAGTGACTCATATGATTTCTGATGATTCCACAGAAAATCATCATGTGAGTTAATACCACAAACAATTCTGTTACTGGATTCCTGCTGTATAAATTAATTGTATACTATGATGCATAAAAGATGGCTTCTCTAACCTTGAAAAACCAAAAATCTCATTAAAATTCTCAAAAATCAATAAACATCGAACCAATTGTAAAAATCTCCAACTCAACCTCCCATCAACACTACCATCCATATACTGTATTGCATAAAAGGAGGCTTTCCTAACCTCCAAAACGAAAAATTCCATTAAAATTCCCAAAAATCAATAAACATCAAACCAATTGTAAAAATCTCCAACCAACTCAACCTCCCATCAACACCACCCAAAACCACCCCCGAAGAATCTCAGCTTGCGCAATTACATTTAACCGGGGTTGACGCGTTATCAGCGCGAACCGAACGAGAAACAAGTTTCCCCGATCCGATTGAACTAAAAAGGAAAAAATTGGCCGCGGCGGTTGCGGAATACGATGAAAAGCGACCGGCCGGGAGAAAGGGAGAGCATTTCGGTGGGTTGGAACGTGGCGGTAGAATTCGAGGAGGATCCCGTCGAGGGATTGGCCGCGCCGAAGTGAACTTATGAAACGGCCAACCCCGGCGGAGTCGAGGGAGATATTAAATTTCTGGAATTTTGCGGTTAGGCGCGTCTACATGCCGACGGCTGTCTCTGTCTGTCTCTCGCTGACACGTCGGTGCCTATGGCTTCGCCCACGTGCCGCGGCTAAGAATATTGTTTCATGGGATTTCTTCCATTACCTTCTCTCGATGCGGTGGTTCGAGCACATGCTAAGTACGTGCGAGTGGTTTGTTGCTTGGTATAGGGAGGTGCAAAGGTGTGGGACGGATTGGTTTTTTGGAAATGTTTGGAGTTTGAGGATTGAGACGAAATTTTTTTCTAATTTAGTTGTAATGTGTAAATTTATGGTATATAGCGAAGAAGGATATATTTTAGATTTAAAAATCCTAATACCACAGGCAGAAATATGTTCTCTTATATTTTTTTTATTTTTTGAAATTTAGATAAACAACATTTTTTTCTAATCTAATTATCATATATAAATGTGTATTAGATAGTGAAAAGGGATATACTTTAGATTTAAAGATCATAATATCAGAGGCAAAAATATATTGTCACCCTATAAATTATACGATTTTGTTGTGGTTATTTTATTTTTTAGGATTTAGATAAACAAAACTTTGTTCTAATCTAATTATAATGTGTAAATTTATACTAGATAGTCAAGGAGAATAGATTTTAGATTTAGAA